ATAATAGTTAAGGAAATAATAGAGAACAACTCGGAACAAATCCCATTCAGCATAATGTACTTTATTTGGGCACATCTTCACCGCCAATCCTATTAAACAATAGCTTGACAAATAACCCGCAGTTACTTAATAGATGTATAACCTCTAAACACAACCCTAATGGGTACTCTAGCAGTACGTGCCAAAAGCTCAATTACTTACCTAAATAAAATTAAAAAATGATATAACAAATCAGCCAACCAGTCTAACAAAATGAGTAAAGCCTCTAGAGACTAAAAAAACACAACTAATATAACTGCCAGTCTACACAGTGATTATATGAGAAGCATGGAAACAAATAGCAAAAGTGTTGATGCTATGCTAACACCTAGACACTTAAACACAAATGACATAAGGTGTCAAACAAAATATATTAATATATTTCAATGCTGAGATTTTGAAACTTAGACACAGTAAACCTACATAACTGAACACTGACACAGATCATTAAACAAACATTACCTGCCGAAGAAGATCTGCTTCACTTGAAAATGGAGACCACTGAATTATCGTCTCAACATTTCGATCCCAGTCGGTCCCTGAAGATCGAATGATCTGGTTCCAGTCTTGTCTTTTTCTTTCATAATCAAGCTTTAATCAATTTGAAAAGGTCAATATTAAAACCCAGCAATAACGCCAACCATTACTTTGAAAAGTAATGGTAATTCCCAACAATAATTGCACCAATCTGGTTCTCCTTTGAGGATAAAGCTTTCCCAGTAGCCAAGAGGCATATATAGAACAGCGAAATAAAAATAATGAATTCCAGAAAAAAAACCTTAATTTAACAAATAGATGGCCAGAATGTTGCAAGATCCAACTTTTCAAATCATATATCACCAAAAGTTCAAGAAAAGTTACGTGGGACTGCAGATATTAGTAACTCTTTACAAACTCATCTACATCAACAGAAACAAGTTTCAGACTTATTGAGAAAGGCTTTGTCAATATTTTTATTGTGCTAGTTTCTACATTTAATCACATGTCAACTTCATTCCCAAAAAGTTCTTTTCAGATTCTGATACTAAAGATCCCTCCAGAAGTGAGGTGAAAATGGATACTTTGTGTGTGTCCTTACTATTGTGAAAATAGAACATGCTTGTACAGTTGATGAGAGAAGTTGACTATCTAATGTGAATTGATGCAGCTCATTTAAACTCTAAAAGAGATTGGTGCAGCTTTGAATTTGCATTTACACTAACATTAGTGTTTTTTTTTTTTTTTTC